GAGATCTCCGCCTCGGTGGCGAACTGCCGCCGGCTGTAGCTCGCCTTCAGCTCTGCCAGCTGCTCTTTGGACTTCTTCGGCTTGCTTGTGGTCGAGTCCAGACCGAGCGACACGCCGGCCGACGAAGACGACATCTCGGCGTTCGATTCGGACGTAGACGGCTCGGCGGCTTTGGGCTGGCTGCCGGGGACACCCGCGACCGTCAGCGTGATGGGAGAGGCGACGGGGACCGCGCCGCTGTTCCCGGCCACCTGAGTGAGGACGAGGCCCGGCTGACCGACGATCTGACACGTCTGGAAGATGTTCTGCAGGCCGTTCGTGGTGGCGGCGATGTTAGCGGGGATGACGGTGATGGTCTGAGGGATGGTCTGCACTGTGCCGTTAAACTTCTTCCTCCGCGCCTCCTCCACCTGCAGAGAGGAGCAGTAGAAGGTCAAAGGTAAGGTGTGACATCACCGACTTTCTAAAGTTATTAAAGTTGTGGGAGTTATTGTTTAGATGCTGCAGTGAAGATGTTTCTCAGAACTGCTCAAGTTCCTGCCTCAGGCTTCCTCAGAGCCACAGACTTATTCTACATCTACGAAACAACCAGAACGACTTCCTGTCAGGAAACTGAACCACAATCATCATCATCAGCCACAACACAATCTGACCGGGAGTCACGTGATCAGTGAGGCGGTGACGGCCTGTAAAAACCTGTTTTATAAAGCGACCCGACGAGTCTGGCAGCAGTTAATAAACACTCATAACTGCAGTTCTTAAAAACTGGACCACGTTTGTGCTCAAGCACTTTTTTTAATGACCCAGGAAGAAGTTAAAGATGTAGTTTCTACTCACACAGTGTGACACTCAACAGCACAATAATGTTTCCTGATGCTTTTCTCTGAGAGTATTTACTCATATTCTATCGCGATATTTCATTTTCCTATCGTTGCCTAACATTATACCGGTATTACCGTGAACGGTATAATATGGCCCAGCCCTAGCACCAACCTCCTCCGGCGTCCAGCTGACTCCGTGTTTGAGCCTCTGAGCAGAAAACCAGACTTTGATCTGCTCCTCGCTGAACTTGGTCTGTGACGAAAGGCCCACGATCTCCGACACCGAGGGATACGGAAACCTGCGACACAAAAAGCACACACACTGAAACGGCAGCGGGATTACACACCGAGAAACACGTCTGTGTGCTCGTGGAGCAAAGCAGTAACCTCCACCCGTCTGTGCTACCACCCAGCCTCCATCCAGCTGTGACTGATGCAGTAAATGCGGGTGTAGTAACCGGGCGGGTCGGTTTTCATATCATCAGGTGCACAGAGAAGTGCAGTAAAATAAGATAAAGCATGAGCGACAGCTGGCCTTTCAAAATAAGAGCGAGCCAACTGTCTGACAGTGATTAAGTATACAAAAAGCTAAAATCAGTGGGCGGTTCCATGTGTGCAGCGCCCCTCAGGTGTACCTCAGGTGTGCTTACCTGTTGTAGGCGCTGACCAGCAGGACGTTGTTGTCCATGGCTGCGTTGTAGGTGGGGATGCTGCTGATGGGGATGAGGAGCTGCGTCTGCGTGCTGTTCTGCTGGCTCTGCAGGGCTGACAGAACCTGCGCCAGCGTCCCCGGAGGCAGCACGCCGCCACCAGCGGGGGAGGCCCCGCCTTTGATCTGCAGCACGTTGGGGCTGTTCACCACGATGCTCTGCGGCACGGCCTGGACCTGCAGCGGCGCGGTGACGGGGATGAGGCGAGGGGCGACGGCAGCGGGGACCGTCGGCGCGGGCGACAGCGCAGGCGGCTCCTTGTCGTCATCCTCGTCGTCGCTTTCCACTTTGATGACATCGTCGACGGCCATCTTGTGCGCGGCGGTGAACTTCTTGGGCTCAGCTCGGCTCTTGTTCCTCATGATGGGCGTCTTGCTGAAGGCGATGCCT